GAACATCATCATTGTGCGTTTTCAAAAAGTTTGAGGGTCGTACAAGTTCTTCACTCCAGTTGCCACCATACTACTATAGTATTACTGCAGTATTGCCCTAGCTTTTGGAACGGTAGTTTAGATCTGAGCTCACACTCGGTGATCATTGACTCATATAACCACTGAAGCACTATACCAAAATGACCAGTTGTTATAAGAGCGTTTCCCGGATGCTCTTTCATGAAAACCTTGATCGACGAAGAAAGAGTTGAGAGATATATATCGACCGGCTGTCATAAGAAGATATGAACCGATAGTCTTTTCTTCGCCACTCTGTCTGCCAATTCAAGGTGAGACTGGATAAGTGATGCAGGTCAACTTCGAACTGCGTCAACAGAAATATTAGATCAAAATTCGTCTGCTTACTACGTCGATGTCGATGACAACTTCTGATCTGCGTAGTGCAAGAATTGCAACGCTCATGCAACAAAAGACGAGTATGCAGGTGCACGATCATGAGTTGACATCAGGAGACGGCGACTGAATTTTGCGATGAGAAAGATCATCATTTAACGGACTGCTCATGCGGTTTGGCCCTGGGCCAGCTTGGATTGATCAACTCGTACTAGACGTCCATGGGTTTGTACGTTCCCAAAAAAACAGATTTGCGAATATAATGCTCATGTTTGCCGCAGCAGGCGGACTCCTGCCGGCCGCGGCCGGGCGGCCGCCGGCCGGGGGCTCATTGGCGGCCGCCAGGCTGGACGCGTGCGCGGTCTCAGGCCCGCTTCATGTATGCCGCGACCAGCGCGCGCGCGGGCGCGATGCGCACTGCTAACTCTGAAATCATGCATACCCTCACTGGCAGCGGCCGCGTCTCTATGTGTATACATGCCGCTTGTCGCTTCGCGAATGCAAGCTAAGAAGGTGCACCTAGAAGTTGTAAGCAGCAGAGACGTCGCAAAGCTGACGGTTTGTTCACCTTGGTCCAAGAAGGGCCTGTCCTTTTCTTGCGCCGACGGCGCTGCAGCAACGTCCACGCCATCTGACGACCATTTTCACAGCAACCTGCACAAGCCTGAGCTTGAAGGCGCTTCTAGAGACCTCCTCGAGTCTTTGATCAAAACCACACCGCCGAAAGCGGACTGCCCTGAGGAGCTGATGCAGCACCTTCTGTTGTCATCGCCTGGGTTCTGCGTGATATAGCAGAATCAGGAATCCCTCAGAGGCTTCTGGTCACCTACGAGGATCTTTGGAAGAGGGACCTTCAAACGGAGGCCCATGCCGCAAGGCTGCGCAAGTGCTGGGATCAATATGGGGACGCCTTTCCAAAGGCCTTTGCAGAGGAGCTGTCCGTATTTGCGAAGAGCTTGCAAGAGGAAGACATCAGGGATAATGTTGCAGGGAAGAACGTTCGGGTGGCCACTCTCTTGGCGCAGGTCTTTGCCAGTCAAAACGCGTCCTTTCACGTGACAAGGCGCTCGCAGGAGCTCTAGCCTTCCGTCCTAGCGGAGATCCGCCGGAGACACGAACAAATTTCTCGAGGAGCGGAATGGGCGGCGCCGGAAACATCGCGGTGGCGAGACAGGATTCAAGTGCTGCTCTTTCGTATCCCAGAGAATTTACCGGATGAAGTAGACTCTGCAGGAAAGCTCCGTCTTCAGAGTAAAAACTTTCTCAGCATGGGAAAAGAAGTCAAGAATCTCACGCAAAGAATGTCCAAGGTGGGGATGGAAGCATACAAACTGCAAGAGAAGGAGAAGAAGGACGCCAAAAAAAAGGTTATCAGGGCGTCGATTATAAGGGCTCCGTGGGAGGTTGAGACAGGAGAGCCATCGGATGGTTTATAATTACTAGTACAGCCGCCTCAAAAACCCTCTCCGTACAAAATGCTCACCTTATGCTATGCTCTTTCTGGTTTAAATCTCGATGTACTTTGGTTGAACGTTGAATGTCTACGAGGCTTAGTTCAAGATTTTTTAAGGGCAGTATCAAAAAGATCCACGCGAACAAGACCTTTACATTCCTGACGATAGCTGGGATGATTGTGGGCCGGTGCTTTTTTCTGTATTTATGTTCTGCCCTTAAAGATCACGCTTCCCCGGATGGAGCATCCGGTTGCTGTCTAAGAAGGAAGCGCTCAGGATTGGATCTCACTTGTTGCCTAAAGCGCATATAGCTTCTTCCACGTCAGTTCCTCAGTATCTGCGACGCATGGCAGCCTCACTTATTCTTATTCTCATCAGCGGATCCGTATCGTGCATCTGTTTCCTGCAGTCCCGCCCACTTGCCTACACGGGGCTCAGCAGAGTATCATTGTACATATTATTAATGGTGCTGGCAGGACCACTTGAACTCATGGGTCTGGTTACCTTTTCAACCACGCACGAATAGTGAAAACAGCCGCTTATCGAGCAACATGAAGAAGGGTAAAGCTCACAAAAGAGGCAGATGAATCAATTTTCAATCGTTCCAAAAGCGCTGCAAAATGAACATGGTTATTAGGTTTGAGGTCGCGGCTTCGTCCTAGAGTTGAGGAATCTCAATACCTAAAATGTTCGTATCTGCAGAGCGGAACGTGCGTCAAGGCCGTTTTCGCCTAATCCAGTTTTCAACAGATTGAGTTTGCACAAGAACCCTCATGTGATCCGGCCGGCCTCATTTGATTGTGGTGGCCGATGTTTTCGAACGAAATTGAGGTCGCGAAGCGTATGCCGCGCACTTAAAACAGAACCCAAGAAGACATGAAAGCCGCCTGATTAATTGTTGCTTTCCGGCCCTTCTTTCCTCACCTCGACTCGCGCAGCTCCCTACGAGTACAATCTATGTTTTCGGATTGCTTGTTTCACTTTGACGCCTTCAACTTCACCTTCAATCAGCGATCACCGTTTAAGGACTGCTTGCAGCTTCAGTTGTCAGTACGACCTTCAGCTTAGTCGGAAAGAATTGTGCGAAAGAGGTTTGGTGCAAATGGGCTGTGCTTGAAATGTAGCAGATCTTTGCAGGCGGCTGCGCGGCCGCGGCTGGATGCGGCGAGTCGACGTGGGGCCGCACGCGACCGCCTGGCGCGCCTGCCAAGCGGGGCGTGGGCGGACGTCGGGGGAGTGGCCAAAGCCTGCAAACCCTTGAGATTTTGAGACACTGAGCCTGGCGACGTGCCGGCCGCGTGTCCACCCGGCCGCTACTTGTCGTGTTCAATCAAATAAAAGCGACCTGATCAGGAGTTTTGTTCCACTGGAGATTACTGTGGAAGCGCTTGTGTTTGTTCATTTTGGCTTTAGATGGGCGTATCCTTTTCTTGCGCCAACGGCGCTGCCGCAACGTCCAAGCCTGCTGACGACATGTACAACAATGGTAGCAACCTAACAAAGGCGCCCCCAAAGATCTCCTCGAGTCTTTTCTCAAGACGTCAGCTTCGAATCAACCACGCGCCGGGTGCGCTGAAGAGCTGACGCCAGCACCTTCAGTCGTCATCTCTTGGGTGTTGCGTGATGTAGCAGAGACCGGCCGGATACCGGCCCAGAGGCTTTGGATGACCTACGAGGATCCTTGGGAAAGGGACCTTCAAACAGAGGCTCATGCCGAAAGGTTGCGCAAGAGCTGGAAACAGCATGGAGACGCGTTTCCGAAGGCCTTTGCGGCGGAGCTGTCCCTGTTCTTGGACAGATTGCAGGATGAAGAATTGAAGGATGAGACTGGAAAGGTTGTTCGGGTGGCCACTTTTCTCGCGAAGGTGTTTGCCAGTCAGAACCCGTTCCTGCACGTGACAAGGCCCTCGCGGGAGCTCTGGCCTCTCATTTTGGCGGAGTTCCGCCAGAAAGGCACTTTGTCATCAGCTCTTGGTATGTATGCCAATCCGTGTCTGAAGTTGAATCGATATTACGCCAGCTCAACGATTACTCGACTGGCGTCGTTGACGATGGGCTCGCTGAGTCGAACCAATCTGAGAAAGCTTTGTTTTCCTCGATTGGCCTACTGTCAAGGCACACATATAACATCGTTTCTTCAGGCGAGTAAGTTTGTCATATTTTGCACTTGCGGTTCCGATGATCTGCACTTGCACTATCATGATATGTGCACCTGGCCATCCCGCTCGAGCGGGCCTGTCTTCTTTGGACACAGCGCACGGTTAACCATGCTTATTACTCTGATATCCCAAAGCTGGATGCTATCATTGGTATGCAAAACCTCCTCGCGACTTATATAAGACGGCACGCGAGCTAGATGATTTGCAACGTCTGAGCGGTTCAAACTAGTATCAAGCTCCAAGCCTGCAATATAGACATGTGAAGACGATCAATATCTTCTGCGAACCTGGTACAGGTGCGAATAAGCATCATTGTACTCACCACGTTTGTTGAGTACGGTACGTACGCTCACGCAGGCTGCTAGCTTGCTGATTGCGTCCGACACACTCTCAATTACTTGGGCCGCGCGCGTTACCCGATCCCCCTTGCTCCCGGTTGTGCTCATGGAGAAGAACTCAAAGGCTTTTGTTGTTAGAAGATAGCGGTCCGGAGTCGAACCGCGCTTTGGCGACGAGCCCAAGCTCGTGTACGGTGTCCCTTTCCGTACAATGTAGTCGATGTCTTCCTTGAAGTTCCGCTTCAATTTTTGAAGTGCATTCCCCTTTGTCGAGTATTCCAAGAACGTCCAGACCTCATCGAAGTCAATCGGAAAAGCATTGCCTTCATCCTTAAACGCCTTGATGAAAACGAGTGCGAGGTCTTGCTTCTCTTCGGCAGAGATTCCAGTCGTCGACTCAATACTCGGATGCTGAAGCAGCCGAGTGATGTCCATGGCTAGCCTACAACGAGCAAACGGGAGCTGTTATGAACTGTTGTTACGACAAGTAAGTGGAGCTACCAGAGACCCAGGGGAAACGAGCCATATTGCTTCTTTTTTTTGCTTTTGCCCACGAAGTCGATTCTAAATGTCATGCATTTTTTCTGGTGTGGCCTTAATGAATACATATTTCCGCTCGAGGCCCAAAGCGGAAACTCCCTACTGCTTATTTGTTATATTTTTCTTCTGAAAAGTAGACTATAATATTAAGGCATCTTTTTCGGTATGGCCTTACTACATACATATTCGCAACTGAGGCCCAAAGGGGAAACTCCCTACTGCTTATTTGTTATATTTTTCTTCTGAAAAGTAGACTATAATATTAAGGCATCTTTTTCGGTATGGCCTTACTACATACATATTCGCAACTGAGGCCCAAAGGGGGAAATCCCTACTGCTTATTTGTTATATTTTTCTTCCGGACAGAAGGAAAAAACTTATAACAAATTACAGTACGAGAGTCTTGACCTTTCCGAACCAGTGCTGATATGTATGTAACTAAGCCCTCCCCGCTATCAAGTTCTGAGTACGAGGGAGAGAGTCCTACCTTCCCGCGCCGCTCTTCTGGTGCTCCGGCTGCGCCTCCCACCGCTCTGCTTCTTCGTCGCGCCGCCTCTGCTGGACCGTTGTCTGTGGGCTCCTTCCTCTCTTGCTCCGCTGCCCCTCCTCGGTGGCTCGGTGGCGCCTGCCTCGCTGCACCCGTCCCGTGTCCCTAAATGCTGAAGCTTTGCGGATTTGGAATGAGAAATGAGCGTCCCGAAATTTGCTTTATACTCACTTAGAGGTGGCGGTCGGTGGCAGGTCTGTGGCCCGTTGTGGCACGGCTTGTGCCAATGGCCGCCACCACTCTGCCTCTGACGTCCCCCATCTCTGTGGGGTCACTTCGAAGCAAAGCGGATGCGAATCATTCACATTTTCACATCTTTCTTGAACGATTCGAAACTTGAGGAGCAGAATGGCTGCCGTCACCGCGCACGCGAAGATCACAGCAAGCACTACGCTTCCAGAGACGACCCGACAGGAGCTTGCAAAGGCGTTGACGGGAGCCTTCGACGAGAGCAAAGGCAAATTCACCATCGATTTTGAAGATGTTTGGAGATTCCTGGGGTACAGCACTAAGGGCAATGCGCTGCAGAAGCTGAAGGATCGGTTTCTGGAGGGCGAAGATTTCATACACAAACGGGAGAGAGTTGGATGCCAGATTGGGATGAAAGACTTTGGTGGAAGGCCAACGGATAAATACTACCTTTGTGCGGTTGCTTTCGAGCACTTCTGCATGACCGCTCCGGGTGAACGTGGCAAGCTGGTCAGGCAGTTCTTCATCTGCTTGAAGGCGGAGTACTATCGAACGTTGGAAGGGCTCGGCAAGCGGCGTCGCCAGGACATCATGGATGCGAGCCATCGATTTGTCGCCACGGAGCAGGAACGGCTGGCCAAAGAGCTCGACACAACCTTGAGTGGCACGGAGAAGGAGGTGCAACGCAGACTTCAGAAGGACGAGGGAGGGGCCGCCGAGGTCCCATGCAAGTACGGGCGCGTGGATCTCCTGACGGATACTGAGGTGGTTGAAGTGAAAGCCATCGGCGCATGGAAGCACGCCCTAGGGCAGGCTCTGGCGTACTCGGGCTGTTTTCCGGATCATAGCCCGAGAATCCATCTCTTCGTGGACGAGCTGGACGATGCCGTGGACGTGAGCGGCATCTGTGCGGTTTGTGAGAGGTTTGGGGTGCGGGTCACCGTTGCTGCATGAGGATGCTGCCTGCAACGGGGGCTTGGGGACAGGAACTTAGGGATGAGAGTTCACTTGAGCGCAACAAGTGGGGTAGTGTAGGAGCTTAGGGAGAAGGGTTGGTTGATAAAAGGCTGTTCAGAGAAGAGGGTAGTGTGAAAGCTTAGGGAGAACGGTTGCTGATCAAAGGGCTGTTCAAAGAAGAGGGTAGCGTAAGAGCTTAGGGACGAGGGCATAGCTTAGAACAAACAAATGGAGGCTGCGATCATGTCCGATTCCAAGGTGATGGCACTGGGGGAGGCAGTGGGTGAGAACCGGCAGGACATGGCTCGGGTATTCATCAACGCATTTGACGACAAGGGTTCCAAGTTTCCGATTGACTTTGACAGTGTTTGGACGTTCCTTGGCTACAGCACAAAAGGCAGTGCACTCCGAAAGCTGAGGTCTGACCAATTTATGGAAGATGAAGACTATGTATTCCACAAAGGCCGACTTTGCAGGAATGTTATTTCGGGCCAGGTCACTGGAAAGGAGCCCGACAAGTACTTCCTGTCGAAGAACGCGTTCGAGCACTTTGCGATGTCCAGCCCGGGCGACGTGGGCCGCAAGGTGCGGCAGTTCTTCTTGGCGATCAGGGACGCGTACGTGAGCCGGGCTGCGTCGGCAGCGGCAGCCCCCGTCCAGCCCCCCGAGGCTCCGAGGGTGGATCCTTGGGACCAGGCGCGGTGCGACGGGATCGCGATGTTCTGGCAGAAGTCGGCAGCCATCAAGCGGTACTTGGAGGCGAGGAGGGCGAGCAAGGACGTGGGGTGGGCGTTCTACAGCCAGGTGGCGACGCTGCTGAACCAGGCGATCGTCGGATTCGCAGAGTCTACCAAGGGCTTCAAGGAGAGCCGGGGCATCCCCCCTTCGCTCACGGTGCCCGACATGTTGGACGGCTACGGGCAGTCGGTCCGTGCTACGTTCGAGGTGGCGTTCGAGAAATACTTCAACCGCCCAGCTGCGGAGCTGGCGCTGATGTCCCCGGCCGGCGTGCTGAAGGACCTCGCTCAGATGCGGGACACAATGCAGGCGTACCTCAGAGGCGTGCACATGGACGACATCAAGGACCGGCTGTTGGACGTGCCGGAGGCCAAGAGACGCAAAAAGGAGTACGGCGAACTGAGAAAGAGCAATGCGATTGGGCCGTCTCAAGTCGCAATGAAGGTGTTGGAGGGAATTCAGGGGCAAGCTGCAAGATCGCTTTGTACATAGAGAATGTCGCAAACAGCCAAGTAGAAGAGATTTGGCAGACGCGCAGCCATTGTTACCCAGACGTAGACGCTGGCACTGTCATTGTGTGCGTTCTCGTCACTTGCATTTTTTGATGCCGATGCCATCCTAACGACCAGATTATGTGCACCCGTTCAAGGGGCTCAGGCTCAAGGAGATTCCAAGCACGTACAGTTTTTGTACAACTTCTGATCACACATTGAACCGTCATGTCGTTCTTGCCTGAGGTTTGGCAGGCAATCATGGAGCAAGTGTCAAGCCATAAAACAGGTGTCGTTAACGGGAGTGTTGCTCTGGACATTCTCGACAAACAACTAGTGCGCAATACACATGCGCTGGTGCTTTACGACGAGCCCGTCGTGTCATCTGGCAACCCCAGAATCTTGAACGGTTGGGGTGACGTGCTGGTGGGATTCATTGCAACGGAGCCCAATGACCTTCGAGTACGAATACACAACCATGTATTTGATATGCATCTAGAACCAAACGTCCTTACATTTGCGCTTTTTGACATGCATTGCATCCCCCTGCTTGCCCTCGCACTTCACTCGGTGGTGGTGTCGGCAGCAAAAGATGCACCGTCCCCCATTCGCGCAGTCTTTGCGTGTTTGAGCTCTGATAACAGACGTGTCATGTGCCTCCAAGGATGCAGTCCTGGTTTGGTGCAAGAAGTGCCAGACTGGAAACTTGTTTATAAAAACGGCATGATCGATATGAGGCACGGGACATTTCCTGATTGTCATGTGCTGCCACCTTTGAAAGACATACCATAAAATGATGTTTGCGCTAAATATACAACTCTATCATGCGTTTTGCATCAAATTATAGACGTTGAGAATTCGATATCCTCTGCCAAAGTACGTTTGATCATCGTCTTCTGCAAACTCTCATCAGGTTCTTTGGAACGTGTTTGGTAAGGACCTATCTATCTTAGCCAAAGCCTTCTCTACGCCCTTCCAGAAATCCTTGCTAGTGACACATTTCCTCCCTACACCATCACGCTTAAAGTAGAATACCCAGAGCAACTCGCCTCTCCTCCTACACGGTTTCACTCCAAGAGCTTCCCAAGCAGCCACCTCTGTAGGAGCATCTTGAGGCCAAGGCATGACGTCGTCGTCCTCATAGACCTGCCAGTAATCACGTTGCATTACCATGAAAGGAGCCCGATGACAATCAATCCTCCAACACCAATGCTGGCACATGAATACAGTGTGATGGGTGCATCGCTGTTGTCATGCGCATGTGCAAGCATTACAGTGCACTGATAACACTGCCAACGGGTAAAGAAAGCGGCAAAATTTACCTTATCTTGGGTCACGGTGCTTGAAGAAGCTTCTGGAACACCCCCTTGGTGTGGGACAATCTCTTCTTTGACTGGTCTGTCAGGCACCTCCATTTCTTCAAGGTTAAGGACAAGCAGAGTGTCAGAGGGCAGCGTTAAGGTGTTGTCCCGATTCAGGTTTGCCCTCTCATATCCTGACTCTTTCACATGGTCCTGCTTGCAGAAGTGCTGCAGCTCGGCATCTAGAGCCAGTGACTTCAAGGGTGCCGGTTTGTCGCATAATTCACACTTCCCTTTGTGAATATGCCACCGCTCAAGATAATCCAAAAGCTCAAAGCAGTCTGCATGGCGGCATTGCTTTCCCCTTACAGGATTGACCAGGATGTCCTGGTTAATCTGGTTCCGGATTGCAATTGTCTTGACAGTGGTGCGGGTTTGTCTTTGAAAGTTGCTCTTCTGCTGCACAAGCTGTGGTAGCAACTCATCCACTAAGAGATCCCTTAAAATTCCAGTAGCATCCCTGGCAACCTGCTCTGACATCAGGAGGTGGTTTGCTCGCATGCTATGACATAGAGGACAAACCAGCACCATTGTTGCAGCTTCAGCCAGCCGATGGCAGAGCTGATTGTTGCACAGCCTGTTCAGGAGATCCTCCACATGGGTGCAGGGAGCGCCCATACCGCCTGCCAAATTAAGATTACACTAAATTATGGTTCGACAGAGTCACTTGATCGGAGTTCAGGCCGGAAAGAACGCCGCGCCGGTGGAAGGTAGAATTTGCAGGGGGTACAGCAAAACAGCAATGGCGCAAACGGTCACTGTTGGCGAGGATGGACTGTCACTGTTTGTGCTGCATGAAATGCTGCAGAGCCGCAACAGGAGCAACGACAGGAACCCAGAATTCCTTGCACTTGTTGCAACTTGGGATGCTGACAAGGAGCTACACACGATTACCTGCAAGGAATTTAGAGATTATGTTGGTAAAAATCAGCTGAGCACAGACTTCCTGGTAAAGAGTCTGGGTGAGCTCAGGAAGCAAGTCTATGTCACATTCAAGCCTCAAAATGGGGAGCAATATAGGTATCACTTCCCTGCAAAAAAGACCTGGGCCGGTTGTCTCAAAGACTTCCGGGAAGAAGCTGGTCTTTCAAGTCTTTCTGCTTACCAGATGCTGTGTGACGAGAAAACAGTGACACATTCAGGAATACCGTGGAGGTCAGGAGAGCGCTATAAAATCGATGTCATGCAACACCAGAACGGTGGTTAAAATGCCCTGGAATCAATTGCAAAAGGCCCTGTGTTGTATTTCTTCTAAGAACAAGCCACGACATTTTCATTCAACCTGATGCAACCAGGATCAGCTCATCTATTTGTTGCACAGTGCATTCATTACCATTTTCGCCCAAACTGTCGCCCCTATTATGTAACGTGGGCCACAAGAAAAGGCGATAAATAGCAATAATACCAGAGTTAACTGGCTATCCCTCAGCCGTCCAGCGTCCTTGGTAGGCAGAGCCTGACCAGAGTAACTGGGTACTGAAGAATACTATTCCTTTTTGTGGACAAGTACTGATACTCCTATGCCATGCCATAGACCTCCAGCCCAAATCCAAGCGACGCTGGTACATTGCACAGCGTGCAATCGCGCTTCAGGGAAGCTCAAAGATGGGCCTTTTGATGGAGGTCTCATACCGTATGTTGACGGGGCACGCTTAGGACAGTGCTAGCCACTCTTCCAGTCGGTAACAAGTGATGCTCATGATTAGAACATACAGTACCTTCTGATAATTTTCAGGGGGTTTTAAACGCACATTCAGATCTTCAAGCGTTACATATCTCAGGCGACATTTTCGACGAAAATTGTATTAAGTGATGCGACAACTGATGCAACTGATGCAAGTTTCTCATGCACTGATGCACTTATGCAAGCAACTGATGCACTGATGCAATATACTGATGTAATATGCTGATGCAGATAATGCACTGATGCACCTTATCATGAGGCGATATCATTTGTGACTCAATGACTGACATGCGATCGCTTCGTAAAACTTTTTCATTGACATGTATATACTGCAATGGATTTCCTTCGTGACACTCACAGGGCGGAAAACCGGTTTGCCCGGTCTTCTTGCCCGGCCACCCCTATGCTCGCCAGCGCTGCCCGGGCTTCCGGTGTCCTGCCCGGACATGCGAGATCCCTGCCCGGACACATGACCGGGCAAAGAACTTCAGCTTGCATTGCCCGGATTTGCAGAATGACCGGGCAACGCGGGTGGCCGGGGAAGTACGGCGCTGGCCGGGCAACAAACACCGGGCAGCAAAGTTGTGGCCGGGCAGCGAAGAAGATCGGGCAACAAGATCGGCCGAGATCGGGCAACAAGGATCGGGCAGCAGAATGATGAGCGGGGAAGGTCAAAAACCGGGCAAGACCCCTAGGACATGACCGAGCAGCAATCAACGGCTTAACCGTTGCCAGTAATCACGTGGATTGCTTACGAGCCATACAAATCGCTCTATTGTAATCAGACACTCGTAGTCAATCTGGTCTCTGAATCCGAAACGGATGCGCACATGCAGATGGGCGAGACTAAGTCTCTGCTGGAAGCCAGGAGTTCCAGCCATGTGTGTAGATGTATGTTTCATATGTACAGAATCAAACAATTATAACATGTGCAACTCAGGCGCACTTGAGCACTCCGCGAAACAGGGGTGACAGATAGAAGCTCGCACAAGCTATTACAACTCGAACCCGCAGTACGTTTCGGAATGGTTCGATTTCGAGAGCCAATCAGATTGAACTAACGTGTTGCTCGCGTACCATACTCTTAAAGCAAGTAAATGATATACCACCTCGGATGCTGATCGGATCAATTCAACTGAGGTTTGTATAAATGAAACAAGATAACCTATGTTATCCAGGCCACTTTCTGATGGATTTCAACGTAGTCCTCAATCAAATAGTATACCCCCTTGCAACTCCCTTGCAACTGGATGGTATACAGAACCGCAACCCCAACAATTTTCGAAACAACGCTCTACAATGTTCCCCCCCTCCTCCGTTGCTTCACCGGAACTCCGTTTCCCTCCCCCGCTCCAATCCGCTTCCGTTTGCGCTGCCGCTTTCCGTTCAACACGGCTTTCAAATCCGATGATGCAAGTTCCGTCCCTGTAACTTGTTCCGTTTCCATTTCGTCCCGTTGCCAATTCCGCTTTCGTTTCCGCTTCCAACTTCGAGCTCAATTCCGGTTCCAGTTCCGGTCTCCGTTTCGATTCCGCTCTCCGATCCGTTTCCGGTTCCGGTTCAGCTTCCTTCCGCTTTCTCGGCCCGCTCTGCTTCCGTTTCATTTCTCTTTTGCTTCCTGATTCGAAACCCAGGCTTCTCTCTCTTTGTCTTGCGCCGCCTCGACCATTTCGCTAACGCGACCGGAGCCCCGACAATTTTCCTCTCCACTCTCGCCACCGTTTTTCTCCCCATCCTAGTTTCCGGCCCCTCGCTTGGCGGTCCCTTTTAAAAACGTTCTGCCAGAACACCCTAAACTCGCACCCGCACTGGCGGCAGCGTCTTGAAGCGGAACACGGTCCCCCGATCGTCCTCGAACGTTTCTACTGACTCGACCAGGTCGACTATAGAATTCCACGTGACTCGCTTCAGCTCAAACGCGCCCGCGCTCTCGTCGTCGCTCTCACTCGATTCGCTCTCGCTGACGTCATCAACGTCCATCGCCGTGCGCCCGGCTACGGGCCACAACGTCCAGTCGCTTTCCTCCCCGTCCGGTGCAGCGAGTTCGGAACGCCGCAGCCACTGCACGACGGCCATCCTTCCCTGGCCGCTGCTGACTTCCTTGACCACTGCGTACGAGAGTGAGAACCCAGGCTTGACGGATTTGAGGATGTCGTACGGAACTCCGTACCCCCACTGCTCTTGAACGCCCTCTTGGCGTACGTCCGGAGGTTCACGGACGGCCAGCCTCACCACGTCGCCAACCTGCAAGCACGGATTGGTTTTGTCCGTTGGTAAAGCTGAGAAGATGCCACACATGGATGCGTCACCAAGAAGACTGAGCGAGTTCAGTTGATGGCAGTTAAAATCACTGTAAGAGCAGTCTTCTGCTGATCATTCAAGGACAGAAATCAGTAGCGCAAAGATGACCAGTCAACGCCGCCATGCATGTTCAGAACGGATGAATAATTAGGTGCCTCTGAGGATTTTGCAAACGGCCGAAACTTGAACGACCAGAAAGTATGCTATGCCCCTCTTAGAGCTAAAGAGATGGAAGTATGAGCAGGTCAACAGCAGCACAATAAGAGCGCTTAAAAAGCAGTCTATTTTTAGCGGCGGCGAGTAGAATCTGATGTATCTGAAGAGAAGTCCGAGAGGTGTCCTTCGACCCAAAGCGGATTGCCCTTACGATTGCGATGCGTTATCAAAGCCTCTTATTGCTTAGAGAACCTCAACGCATCACGGGTAAAATATAAACAACCAGCTTGTATCTTGTAAAGAAGGACAAGTAAACGGCTTGTAAATAGAGAAAACGACAGGAAAACTCGCAGCAGTCTGCGATTCATCAGACTTTAATGAAACGATTAGCGGCTGAACCCACAAGTAAGCGAAAACAATGAGAGGCACCATTTTAAAGGAATGGCAGGAGACGAGTCCGAGTATGACTGCCAAGAAGCAGCTGAAGAATCGTACATTGAATCAAGCGCAGCCGCCCAATGAGAAGTAATCCGAAGATCTTAGATATGGTTGACGCATCAGGTTTTGACTGCAGAATATCCTATCCGCACATGTTAATACGTCTTTGTTTCAGCAGCGGCTTGTCTAACTCACAAAGCGCCGGCCGATGCTTGCCAAGACAACGAACAAGCGAGAGCTCTTTCTCCGCATCGACTCTTTCTGTACTCTTCTCGCCTTCTCGCGTCTAGAAAAGGAACCGCGCGCATGACGTCGACAAAACCGTGAAGAGGAAGAGTTGAAAACCAAAACCGTTACACTACAGTAAATCAAAACGAAGACTCAATGTCAAGGAGTCCATTGTAAAGAAGTATATTTGGAATCGAAGAAAAGCATAGTACTGCTAGAAGTTCGTCCCAGAAGAGTGAGCCCAAAACAGTGAGCGCGCTCACCCGGGGGTAAACCGGCACCCACACGTCATGTGCCTCAAAACCGAAGCCGCTCGGGGCGACCTCGATCACGTGGCTGCTTCCGGTGAAAACGGTCTCTCCAGGGGCCGGGCACGGGATGAACCGCCGCTGCAGGTCCCGAGCCAGTCGCACGCGCTTCTGGGCTTGCTCGAGGGGGTGCAGCATGAGGCAGTTATGGTGAGTGCCGCCCACAGGTACCCCGGATACCCCGTCTTGTTGGGTCCGAAAGGCCGAAAACTGGACGAACACCCTCCGGGGACCGTTCTGCGGCTTAGCTGTGAAAAACGAGTCCACCAACACGTACTCCTCCGGCCGGCCCGAAGCTTCCGGACTCAGGACAGCGTGATCCCCGACCGCAAAGTTGAACTCCCCCAATTGCACGCTCTTCGCCCGTTTGACAGTACCCGCTTCCAATCGAGTCCCTACACCCGGCGTCCTCCCGGCCGCCCGCGCCTCTCTGTCCAGAATGCTCTCGACGGCCAACCGCTGCGGATTCTCGAGGCGCGTGAAAGACCGCCGCTCCCAGTTTTCCGGCAGCTAACCGACTACCACCCCCTCCGTTCGCATGCTTGCTAAAAGCCGCTCGTCTGACGGCCTCCCGTCCCGTGGCGGCTCTCTCTCCAACTGGGTCAAGTAGGACCTGGCCTCCTTTTGCGACGCAGCGAAGAGGACGCCGTCCGCCGTGCGCGCGCGCGCGCGCGCCCACAACTCGTCGCCCGCAGTCCGGCCGGCCGCGCGAAGCCGCTCCTCTTTTTGGCGGCGCTGCAGCCACCCGACCGTCAGAGCCGCCAAGGTCCGCCTATGGAGGGTCGCCTCGATCTGCTTTCCGTTATTCGGAGTGTTGACTAGCTTCCGGATGTACCGCTCCTGCGCGTAGCACCAGTACGCGTCGGGGGGCCCGTGCATCCGGACGTTTCCCGGCATGTGCAAGCACGTCTCGTGCTCCAGGGGTCGCAGTTTGGGCAGCGCGTCCTCCTCGGCGCGAACCAGCTTGGCCTTGCACAGCTGCCGGAACAAGTGCGCCAGCTCGGCTGTCCACCCCCCCCTTGTGCCGACGACAAACACCAGCTGGTGGATGCAGGCCACGAGCTGGACCACCGCATACGCTTCCGGGTCGGTGATACCCGCGAAAGCGGTGACGAAGCACACCGTTGCCGCCTTCATGTGCTCGTCCGCTTTCCACCAACCCAGGGGCCGCTTTGCCGGGTCTGCGGGCCACCGGCCGTCTGCGAGCTTTCTAGTCGGATTGATCCCCGCCAGTCGCTTGCCGAACTCCTTCAGATCCGCCCGGGGGGGTTCGACTAATTCCGTTGTTTCCCCCTGCTTCCGGCTCACCCCGTACAGCATGTCGCGGATCAGGTGCTTGCAGAGGTTTTCGGGCCCGCAGTGCAAGAAGTCGCTGCAGACGTCAAGCACTAGGTGGAGACAGTGGGCCGCCCAAAGGAGAAGCAGCATGCTGAAGCCGATGACGCCTGTCCGGTGCCCGATTTCCGTCCGCTCCGTTTTCGTTTCCGCCCCCAGGTGCTCCAACATAGCCGCCGCGACCTCGTCCATCGTCTTCGGGGCGCACCCGTCGCGGGCGAGTCGGCGTCCGTCTGTGTAAACCAGCCTTCCGTCGACGTAGCTGCCGACGTGCTTGCAACCTCTGGACACGTGGTATCCCCCCAACTTGAACTTGATCATGTCCGCGAGCGCTGGGAGGTCGGAGAAAACGCTCGAGACCATCATCCGAATTCTGACCGGTCCGCTGCGGGGGGGAAGATGGGCACTGATCTCTTCCGGGGGGAGGGCGTAGTCGATTTCAAAGCCCTCGATGAACAGCCTTAGGGCGTCGAGGACGAGGACCAGCAGGAAGGCATCATAGCTGTCCGGCCTCGGGACCATCTGCATTTTTTGGGGGTACATGACCGGCCACAGCCAGTCTTCCGCTCCCTTGTGCAGATTCAGTTTCGACACCGTCATTGGGAACACGTCCATAATGCAGCTCGACTTATTGGATGTGCTCGCGGAGGGAAAGCCGTCCAGGTGAAGTCCCAACTTCAGATTTCTTGGATCCCCCCGTTTCTGAAGCTCCTTCAAAGTCGCCACGATCGCCCCTTTGCAGACCGGACATCGAGCTTTGAACCGCTTCCGTTCCGCACACCACATCTGAGGGGTTGGCCGGGAAAACCACGGGGGTTGGAAGCTTTGGGCACAATACACGCTCCGGTTTCTGCAGCACTCGTTGCATTTCAGGGGGAGAAGGAAGCTGGACTGGGGATCGAAAAAGGCTGCGTCGTCTCGCCAACGCTCCCCGTCCCACACTTCGGACTGCGGCTCGTGAACCCCCCCTTTCGGTTGCCCCAACCAGTGGTCCCGCTCCCCCCAAGCCCCTCTCACCGTGGCATCCTTGCAACCCTCGCCTGTGGTGAGCTTTGCACGAGCATGCAGCTCGGGGGAGATGAAAGGAAGTTCGAAGGCATCCCGGCGCAAAAACCCGCAGTCGGGGCACTTTTCTTGGTGCTCGGGGCAGTCTCGCCACGCTGGCCTGCCTGGCCGGTCTTCACACTCGGGGCACGGGGTGGACTTGCAGTCCTCAGGACTCGGTGCGAAAAGATGCCAATGGCCCTTGTTCTTGCCTTTGTCGGGGCCAGGGTGCCAGCGGTACGGCTGCACCTCTCCGAGCAGACGTGACGATTTCGCAAGGTAATTCGACATCTGCACAAGGAGAGGTTTGACGTCAGCAAGGATCGAGTGAGTTTGGGGACTGGAAAAGGTAAAGATGGAAGCGGCTTTTTAAGACGGACGCGCCGGGTTCAAAACGTTTTGGATTTTTAATCTGAAAAGTGCGGTGTGTTTGTTTAGACGTCTCCTTGAGAGTTATCAGGGTTTCTGACTCAAAAAGTGGCGAAGTATTCTAAGTTTCGTTGCGGACTGGAGTGTGGTACACCAGATATGGCTGACCCATGCCTGGTGAATAAGAATGATGTGATTCGTCGTAGCAAAAGTTTCAGTGGTGAAAGTAATCGTCTAAGGTGCGGATTGTGTAAAGAGGACTTTAAAGTACTTGAAGCATCGATGCAAATCAGTCCGCCTCGAAACGGCACCCGCTGACGTCATCTGAAACGGACCTGCGTTGAACAGATGCGCTGAAAGACGTGACAAACAAAACAAGCCGCGATTCCAACGGAAAATGTGAATTGAGCAAGCTAGGGTAGCGAATGTCCGGAGGAGGCAGCCGAGAACATGTCAGTAGAGTTTTGAAACGGAAAAGCTTGGAATCCGGTCAAAATTTGAGGTTGCGAGATGGGTTATGTTAGTGGCGAGACTGGTTGGGGGAATTGAAAAGGGGTTTCCCGGGGGTGATCAGCAAGTCGAAAAGTAGAGGCCTAACAACTCTGGGATTAGAAACGGCTTGAGGGGCCTCGAGTTAGCCGGAGTAGAGGGTTTCAGAGCTGAGAATGGTCTCTGCACAAGAAGCGTGCGCTGCGGAAAAAGGAAACAATGGGCTGAACTAACGGGTGTTCGAAACCGGGTTTTAAAAGTGGGCTGCGGGTGCTCTGAGGCAGATTTTCCAAGTGGTCTCGAGCAATTGGGTATGAAAGTCTCGGGAGTGAAGGAAAGATCGATCGAAGACAGTCTGGCTCAGCACGGCACCTGCTGACGTCATTGGAGACGGGCTCGTGTTGAACGGGTGTGCTGGAACGACCACTGGACACGACAAGCTGCGTATTTTACGGAGTTGGTGAAACGAGCATGCTAGGATTGCGATTGTCTGGAAGAGGCATTAGAAAAGATGATTGCGAACTTTGGAAGCGAAACAAAGTGAAATTGAGTCATCAATTGGGGCTGCGAGACGGGTTATTTCAAAAGCAAATCTGACTAGGGGAACCGAAAAGGGATTTTCCGGGGGTGGTTAGCGAGTTGGAACGCAGGGGGTTAAGAATTCTAAGACCAGAAACGAGTTAAGGTTTCTTGAATCAGCGAGATTACAGAGCTTTCGGGCTGAAAATGATCTCTGGCCAAGTAGCATGCGCTGCGGAAAGAGGGAAACTGAGCCAGAACGGATGATACAAAGCGGCTTTAAAAGCGGGTTAAGGGTGCTCTAGGTTGATCTAAAGGGGGTTTCGCTTGTTTTCCACAGTGATTACGTTACAGAGAAGGTCCTAGATATTGAGAAACGTGAAGTAACATGGTCGTAATCGTCCAAGAAGACACGTGAGAATGCGAAAGACGGCTCGCAAAAAGAAGCAAAAAGGTCATACAAGTTTTCAGATCGATATTTTTGGTTCGAGGAGTTCTTGAGCAGAGCGTTTTTGATTTGCGTAGTTACCAAAAACGATAACCTTGCCGCTGATCTACACTTTGATTGACTGGCCACAATATATACAAATGTTTAGTTAACATTGAATTTCAGAGTAATGAAACAGCCAATCAGGAAAGTAATTGGACTATTACTGCCTTTTTACGTGGCAAGGGGAGCCTTACCTGGTCATGCGACTGAGGCAGACCAAGCCTTTTCACCGTTTCCTTCCATTGAGGATCGATCGCCGCTGCAATCGAGTCGGTCGCGGAGATGCACAACTTAACAAGCTTGTCCATGGTTTCGTTACTGAGCCCTGCCTTATCTCCAAGCTTTACCAGGTCCACCAAACAGTCCATAAGCTTTAGCTCAACATCAGAGACGGAAGCTGGTCCATTCTCCTGCCGTTCTCTCTCGTCTGCAAGCTCAAAGTCAGAAAGTTGCCCGCCACTGAACCAGCTTTCAATGTTTGCTCGTTGACCAGCGAGTCTTTCAGCTTCATTGCTGCTTTTAGATCTTGTCGACTCCTCACAATCATGGTTCGAGCACCTTTCCGTTCCAAGGGAAGCGTGATCTTCAACCCCCCCATCTCCGAGTCCCCCCCAATCTTGGTTCCCTGAGCCTCGCGCTCCTTGCACCTGCTCTAGATGAGCTGCGGTGGCAGCACGTGCTTGGTGATCATGAGTAGCTTGGTGATCATGAGTAGAATACGCATGCGTCTCAGCCTTGTCGAGCTCACGGTGCTTTCTTCGTGTACGAGCGGTTACATATCGTCCTTCTCTGCTCCCTTTTGATGTGCACAAGGAGCAGGTGCACAAAACTTTGCCCTCTGAATCAAGAGGCTCTAGAGGAAACATTTCAAAGTGATGATTGTTCCTTCGACTAACGCGATCAAGCTCGTCACAGGATTGATATTTAAGTTGCTACTTTCTGCGCGCTCTTCAAACATCTGTTTTGGAGACCTGCAATTCCCATATTGCTGATATTGAACGCGCTGCTGGTCTCTTGACCTGGCTTGACCTGGCTTGATCTTGACCTGCAATTGCAGCTGGACGGTTCACTCTTCAAAATTCCTAGTGCATGTCATCTTTATGATCTTTTCTCCGTTTCGTTGCGCCATGCTTGAACAACTTGAGCACATTCTGTGCTTTGCATCCCCGCAGCATCCTTTATGTTTGGCAGGCTTCGAATGCTTGAACGAAGCTCAAAGTCGTCAACTGGCAATCTAAAGGTCTCTGAATGTTTTCGATTTCGAAACAGCATGCACGTTGGTTTCAACCGTTTGCGGTCGATTAACCCCGTTTTAAGCTGGTTGAAAGGCAGAAATTATTAAAAAGGAAGTTCAAAATATATCGAAGTCGAAAGTTTCGTGTATCGTCAAGCGTGTAGAATCTTTGCGCGCCTCATATTAGTAAAGCCCGCGAGAAAGTTTGAAAGGGCGCTAGCTTTTCCCAAGAGTCGAATTGCAGAATTACGTTGCAAGTGTTCCTTTCATCAGGTTTGCAAGCAGCACAGGCGCTGCTTCTTTGCGAGTCTTCAACAAGGGTCAGCATGCATAATTTGTGAGAAGGGTCACCACATGCACATACGTGCGGCCTGCAGAGACCTTTAATATTGCTTTCAGTGCAAGATGAAGTAGGTGCAGCAATGAGTCGCGTGCGTAATCTGGGTGTGGAAGAGTTTGCAGGAGAGATTGCGAAGGAGCTTGAATGCGACCTATATACCAGGTTTATTATCGAAGATGCAATCAGCGGCAGAGTTTTCTTGGCGGAGGGAGAAAAGGGAGACGCGCTCATTGAAGATTTTAAAGATCTGAAAAGTGGCGCTGCAATCAAGAGGGGTCATAAAACGATTCTCAAAGAATTGAGAGATTCGTGGCTCGCATCTGAAGGATCAAGAGGGGGAAAGACAGAAACAACGAGAGAAAGCGGAGGAGGCAAAGGTTCAGTCGAATTGCAGAGAAGTGGCAAGCATCTCGATGCACGAAACTTGGCAGGGACCTCTTCCCAAGAAGTCAATGTGTCCAGGGGGGAAAATGATTCTCAGGATAGGCCTCAAAATAGATCAGCTCCAAGCTCGCCACTAAGTGCAGCGAAGCTGTTCAAAACGCTCTGGCATAGCAAGAAGTTCACCATATATGTTGGAAAGCACGGCGTCAGGAGGCTGCAGAGTTTCCATGCGCGTGTGGTCAGCCGTGCAGCAGCAGATCTAGGACTGACAGATTACATGCCTGACGAAGCGAAGGCAAAACAGGTTCCTTCAGAGGACGAGCTGATGATGCTGAGGTCCATCAACCTGAAAAGAAATCCGAAGGACCTCGAGTGGAGAGACAAGATCTTTGACTCGATTCTAGACGAAGACGAGCACTCCGGGGAAGTCGTTGGTTTGGACGGCACCGTATACAAATGGCCGAAGGGTAAGCAAACGTCTTCTCTGTGCGTTCACCAGATTAGTAGCAAGGAATCAAAATCATATGTACATCTTCGTTGCCACCAATATTCTCGTTTCCACTCATTCAAGTTGCCTGAGTTGAAGACAGCCAGTCTTGAGAGAACATTGTGTTGCTAGGGCTTTGCGGTGACAGCTCTGGGAGCTTTGTAAATGTATGTAGAATCAGCTCCCTAAAAGAACGAAATCTGTCATGCTTTCCGGTATTCAGCAACGTCGTCTACTGATTTGAGCACAGATTTTCCAGGAAAGGGTCATGGATACAAAATCCTGTGACAACCGAGCATATAATTCCACTTGCAGCTTGCAACAATTCCACGTTCACCGCAATCATTGATGACCTCAAGAAGAAGTTTTTGCACGCGGACCGGTACAGAAAAAGCCAGGCTAAAGAGCTCGAACGGTATCATGAGCGCAAGCCAAAGAAGGTAGACAAGGTACTGTGTCTGCCTTGTGCTCATGCTCTCAGGCTGATCAAGTACATCGCTAAACTACTTCAAATCTGAAGGATATATGCATGCTGCCATCTCGTACTGATCCTTCAACCAAGGATTCATGAGAATATCATTTCCTGCCAGCTCTGCTGTTCGCTTCGCAGGTTCGATGTCGTATCTCAACCACTCCGCCTAGTCTTTCTACCTCGATCAACTGATATTTTCAGGTTGTGCATCGTAATTTTTGAACCGTCTTAAGCGTTGGCCTTCTTATGGTTGCAGAAGCGAGCCGAAGCTGGGGAGGACGGCGCCATGCAGGAGCAGCCACGTCAATTCAACGGTACTGGACCATCAAAGGTCAGTATGCAAAGCAAACCCGTCAGGTGTGGATACGGTACGGGCCAAGAAGGTTTCGTTGGACGGTCTTCATGATTCTTCAAACTTGCTTCAATGGCCAATATCCTACAAGAAGTCCTGATCGAGAACCTGAATGCTCGAGATTTAAGGTCCTCGTTGTCTATGATCATAAACCGTTGTTTTTCACAGTCACCAACTTCGTCCAACTTAATCCATTTGCGCTTCTGAAGCATGCGCCTGGCAAAACCTAAGTTTGAGCCCGCTATGTGTACGTACAGGAGCCGGATTCAGAAAGCTTGGACGAGAGCCAACCCGCTCGGCCCGGCAGCGGCAACCACCCCAACGAGGCCTTGACACCCGAGACTGCTCCTTCAAAATTAGTGAGTGGAATTGTTTGCACAAGGGTCCTGACTCTTGTAGTGCCGGCACCTTCGAACACGAAAAACCTTGCAATTACAAGGTAAGATGTTACCCACGGTGACCCCTAGGTCTGTATACCCGGCTTTCCGCACCAAGTTGTGCTCGGTTCGTTTTGAATCTGTTCGGCACTATACTTCATTCATATCCCCCCAACGCCTTTCCAGAGCTTACCATGGCACGCTTTTCCGTTTCAGGTCATCTTGACTAGAGTAATTCAATTCACTAAACCAGCCTGCTTCAAAGACTTCCGCCTGAGTCCGACTTGGCTGTTCGCACACGGCCACGTGTCAGTCTTGTCCTCCGCATCCAGTTTAATGCGCGAACCCTTCCGTGCGCACTGAATTCTGTCCATCAATCACTTTCCAACCCAGGCGATTTAAGTCAAACCACCTTGCTAAGGCGATATAGCATACATACCTGCCGCGGGTGCCAAAGACCTTTGAAGCCCGTTCGAAATAAGAAAAATATTCACGAGCATCAAGACTAAGGAATCACTGTCTTTTGAATAGGTACATCATCCGGTGGCCTCTGAACATCCAATCGAGCTGGCAGTACCTTCAACGATTGGCCCCAAATCAGCACCACCTGCTCCGGCTAGCGACGCGTGCAAGACGACGGTGAGCTCGCGCTTGCCACATGAGACTGATACTCGCGCATGCGCTTCTGGTCAAACCATCATTGATCTCTTGTAAACGTCTATGCCAAATCCTTGTGCAATTTTTTGAGTTCATGCCGTAGTATCGCTTCAAAAACGATAAGGAAAGGCCTTCAAATCTGCCGTCAGACCCCACTTTCCTTACCTGCCCGTCTAGAAAGTTGCTTCAGAAGCGGATGCCGGAACTTGTTCCTTCCTCGTCCGTGGCCCTACGTCAATCTGGACAAAGATGGTGGCGGTCAAGCCCAAGCTTCTGCTGGCATGCGTTTCTTTTGTGCACGTGAAATATGCGTTGCGGAGAGAAAACGGACTGGAGATGCGCAGGCTAAGATACTATCACGAACGGTCTTTTGAACTTAGGCATTGATTGCTGTCGTTCGAGGATTTAATACGAGAATCTTGTCACAGCCGAAGCCGAAGACGAGCTGCTCGTTGGAGGGGTGCTCGTCGACGGAACGGCCTCCAAGCTTCTGCCAGGCATGTCTCGACCCGGTGCACGAGGAGTGCGTGCAAGAGCTGCTAAAAAGGCTGTACGGGGTCGAGAAGTACGACGGGGAGCTGCTTTACTGCGCCAATCACCACAGCAACTTCGGCTTTCGTCAGGTTCGTGATTAACATCTCAGAGTTGCTCCAAAATCTGAGAATTGTCGGAGATCTAAGATTTGTTGGTTCTAATTGGCAACACGTACTGTTCTATTGCGCAGGCAGCGTCATCTAGTGGACGGGGCCCCAAGTTCTCAAAACCGGCCGGGTCCGTTCACCCCGGCTGTGACCGGTTCGCTCTCCCGACTGAAATTTTTGCACTTGGCGGATAAGGACTTTCAGAGTGGCCTTTGTTTTGTCTCGCCCGGAAACATAAGAAGCGCTGGCTCTTTCGTAGGATAGGTCAGCTTTCGACGTTCTTTTCCGGGCGAGACTCTGGGTGGGCGAAATCTGGCGGGGTCCATTCACCCCGGCTATGACCGGTTCGCTCTCCCGACTGGATCCTCCGCACTTGGCAAATCAAGATTTTCGGAACGGGACTCTGCTTCGTGAGTCCTGAAATTAAAAAAGCGCTAGCTCGTTCGAAGTCTGGAGCAACTTCTGACGTGCTTTCTTGAGCAAGGCCCTGGGTGGGCAAAAAGTGGCGGCTTCCATTTACCCTGGATGCGACCGGTTCGCTCTCCTAAATTGACTCCCTGCACCTGACGAATGAAGAATTTCAGAGTGGGCCTTCGTTTTGTGAGTCCGGAAACATAAGAAGCGCTAACCACTTCAATGGATAGAGCAGCGTTTGACGTTCTTTTTCCTGGCTCCGGGTGCGCGAAAACGGGCGGGGTCCGTTTACCTCGGCTGCATGTGACCGGTTCGCTCTCCCGGCTGAATCCTTTGCACTTGGCAATTTGAAGAATTTTAGAGCGTACCCTTCTTTTGTGAGTCCGGAAGTATCAATAGCGCTAGCCAATCCGAAGTCTAAATCAGTTTCTGACGTTCTTTTCCGTGCAATTGCGAGCCCATAAAGTGTAGAATGACTCAAGAGAAAGATTTTGAACGTCAATTCCAGACTCAGATATTGTCTCATACTGCATGACTAGCGCGTTCGCTTCTTTTCCAGGGGCTTGGCGGAAAGTGCGCACTGCCAGCGTGCGCGATGGCAGGAAAGCCCGCCCAGCATCGGTGCGAGGTCTGCAAGGACCCGGTGCACAACCTGTGTTTCCAAGGCTTCCTGCACGAGGTGTACGGCGTCGAGGGCTACGACCAAGGCCGCTTTGCGTGCAAGGAACACGCCAGCGCTCTGGGCTTTCAGAAGGTGACCGCCTAACGCCTTTCCGTTCCCATATTAAGTGACTTCACTTTCGTTCGGCTGAAGTTTGAGAT